GGGATTAGGTTTATTCCTATCCTAACCGCAAATCCGTTCTCGATACTCGAGTTCAAGATCTTGTTCTACTTAATCTTATATACAATCTAGAATTCCCTCTCTCAAGTTCAATCCTAGATTCATAGATAGTATTCAATTGGTGATCAAGCAATCAAATAATTAAGCGCAAGATTGAATAAATAAACCAAGAGTGTAACATCATCACCTCAAGATTTGACTCACAAGCACCTTACATTTTTCACAACCCGCTCACTTACTCAAACGTAGAGGTCAAGCATTAACTTTCCTTTATGAATCAAGTGCCCTCACACAACAAAAAAGAGTAGTTCCACACTCAATAAAATTTAAGAACAATTAGGAACTCAGGATAGAAAAAATTCTCTCACTCTCAGAAACAACATTCATATGCCACAAAAGATGCACTATAGGCTTGCTCGTAGTGTACTGCTCTACTAATAGAGCTCATTCAGTATAGAATCAAGTAGGACTTTAATTGGTTGTAATGTAGGCTGCGGGACGGGTAGGATACATTAAGATATAAGAGTGACTACACCTCCCTAAGCACTTTAATATATACACTTGGGGATTTAAAATCTCACACTTATGTCAAAACATAACTCCACATTCACATCAATGTATATTAATTCCATACTTCTTTAAGCATCATTACATCAAAAGATACCACTTTCAAGGAATATTTTTCACAACAGTATAACTATTTTTTCTTTCTTTTCTTTTTCAATTCAAGTGGCTCTTACTTTTTTAAAACAGTGCATCTTTCTCCTTATTTCATTAGTTCCACTCAAAAGCCAAACCAACCATCCCACACTTTAACTTTTACAAAGTTCATAACAATTTTAAGTGCTCATGAGAGGTGAAAAGTTTCAAATAGATGGTTAATTCAAACAAATGGGTAAGGTTTGTAATGTGGTTGTAAAGAAACAGGATTACAGGCTCAAATGGGTTAACTACAATACATAACAATTAGGTGGGTAAAGCATATAACTTGCTCAACAAAGAAATGCCTATATCACTTCCTAGACTGACCAAACTACTAATTCACTTTGCAAACACACGGGGCAAGTTTTAGACATCAAATGCAATGCACAGAATAACACACAAACCTCACACACACATGGCATACAACTCACTCAGGATTGGACTCATCAAGACACTCTAGTCAAAGCAGCTAAGCAAAGTTAAGATTATACAATTTAAGGTACTTATACAGGAATCAAAAACTGAGCCTAAGCGTCACAACCAAAGTACTCACTATTCTCAAGGCATAACAAAAATTCAAGAGATATTGCTCCAATTCAATTCATAGCACAATGGCTCCTACTCCTAAAAAAACTAACTACACCTGATTCAAACAAAATCCTTGGAAAAGAACCGCGGCACAAAAAAAACCATGGGGGAATTACTACGCTACCTACAAAGAAAATCTTTTTGTCCTTTTTCTTTCGACTTAAATCCCTCAAGAAAACTGTCTAGGAGATCCATTGTCGGGAAAAGTCCCAATTTCTGATTTTCTTAAAACAAAAACTACTACTCTAAGAATGAGTACTACAACTAAGCTAAGATAGCATAGAAAATCACCCAGACAATCTCCTCAACCCACACTTAAAATTTTGTAATGTCCTCAATGCACACTATAAATAACAAGAAGGTAAAGAGACTCCCTGGTAGGTCAAAGGCCGAAGTATTAGCAGCTCACGGGATACTCAGACTTCTCCCACGTATGATCCTTTTTGTGTGCATCTCACACTTAGTTTCAACCATCTAGCTCGACTTTTGCACCCTTTCAATGGCTTTGCTTCCTATTCTTATAATCCTACAAAAGAAAAATAGACACTACAAATAAAAATAAAAGAAAACAGTAAAGCTAGGTTGCCTCCAACAAGCGCTTGATTTAACATTGCGGCACGACGCAGAGCCTCACTTAATCATCAGCGAGTACAATTTTGGTCTTCTCACAATCAATTATTCATCCCAAATAGTTCTTAACTCTCTGTCCATTCACTAAAAATTTCCTTTCTCCATTTAAAGCACGCAGCTCAATTGCACCATAAGGAGTGACTCTCACCACCTCAAACGGGCTTGACCATCTTGATTTTAACTTTTCATGAAACAGCTTGAGCCTAGAATTGAACAATAATACATGTTGTCCTGGCTCGAAGTGACGTGGCTTGATATGCTTGTCGTGCCATCTTTTTGTTTTCTCTTTGTAAAGCTTAGCATTTTAATAAGAGTGCAACCTGAACTCATCTAACTCATTCAACTACAAGAGTCTCTTCTCACCTGCGGCTTCAAGGTATATATTCAACTTTTTAATGGCCCAGTACGCTTTGTGTTCAAGTTCAACAGGCAAGTGACATGCCTTCCCATAAACAAGATTATACGACGATGCCCCAATTGGCGTTTTGTATGCAGTTCTATATGCCCACAAGGCATCATCTATATTTGCAGCCCAATCCTTCCTATTCACGCTCAACGTCTTCTCTAAGATTTGCTTTATTTCTCTGTTAGACACCTCAGCTTGTCCACTTGTTTGAGGATGATATGGTGCAGCAACTCTATGGCGGACTCCGTATTTAGCTAGAACATTATTTAACAACCGATTGCAAAAATGTGTCCCTTCATCACTAATCAAGTCACGTGGAGTCCCAAACCTCAAGAATATGTTCTTTTTCACAAATGCAGCTACCACTATGGCATCATTTGTTGGCAATGCGATCGCCTCTACCCATTTTGACACATAGTCAACTGCTAGCAAGATGTATTTGTTTCCTCTGGACAAAGGGAATGGTCCCATAAAATCTATCCCCCACAGATTAAAAATCTTGACCTCCAGGATGTTATTCAAAGGCATCTCATGCCTCTTTGTGATTGTTCCTGTTCTTTGATACTGGTCACACTTCTTAACAAATGCATGGGCATCCTTGAATAATGTTGGCCAAAAGAAACCGGACTGTAATACCTTTGCAGTTGTTCTATCGCCTCCATGATGGCCCTCATAAGGTGATACATGACAATCATACAACACTAATTCCCCCTCCTTTTCTGGAATGCATCTCCTCATCAACTGATCAACACACTGCTTGTACAAGTATGGCTCATCCCAGTAGTAGAAGTTCACATCATGTAGAAACCTCTTTCTAGCTTCAGATTCAATTTTAGGAGGAAGTACCCCACTCATAAGATAGTTCACATAGTCCGCGTACTATGGGGAGGGTCATGGGTGATAGAAAAAAGTTGCTCATCAGGAAATGCCTATTTAATTTCTCCACCCTCCTTCACGTGATCATGATTTTCCAGCCTTGATAGATGGTCAGCTACTTGGTTCTCTGTGCCCTTCAGATCTCGTATTTCTACATCAAATTCCTGCAACAACAAAACCCAGCGCATCAATCTAGCCTTAGATTCATTTTTTGTAAATAGATACCTATTTGCTGTATGATCGGTATGGACTATGACTTTTGTTCCCACCAAGCATGCCCGAAAATTCTCAAAAGCCCACACAACGACTAACAACTCATTTTCAGTGGTGGTGTAATTCAGCTATGCATCATCAAGAGTCTTACTCGCATAGTAGATGGAATAAAATACCTTGTCATTCCACTGGCCTAGCACTACCCCAATAGCATGGTCAGTTGCTTCACACATAAGTTCAAATGGTAAGGACCAATCTAGTGCCGCAATAATGGGGGCAACCACCAACTTCTTTTTGAGATCTTCAAATGCCTTCAGGCATGCGTCATCAAAATTGAAAGTTACATATTTTTCAAGCAACCTGCACAAAGGAGTAGCAATTTTTGAAAAATCCTTTATACAGCGCCGATAGAACCCCGCGTGTCCCAAGAAACTCCGGACACCCTTCATATAAATGGGTGGAGGTAATTTTTCAACCGCCTCCACCTTCACCTTATCAACCTCAATGCCGCTTCTAGACACTCTGTGACCCAACATGATGCCTTCCTGCTCAATAAAATGGAACTTTTCCCAATTCAACAATAGATTTATTTCTTCACAACGGGCTAACACCTTGCTCAAATTCTTCAAACAGTCGTCATAAGAAGAGTCAAAGACTGAAAAATATCCATAAAGACTTCCACAAATTTTTCCATCATATCAGGGAAAATAGCCATCATGCATCTTTAGAAAGTGGCTGGTGAATTACAAAGACCAAACGGCATATGCTTGAAGACGAAAGTGCCATAAGGACAAGTATAAGTGGTCTTCTCCTGATCCTCTAGGCATATGACAATCTGGTTGTACCCCGAATAACCATCAAGAAAGCAATAATATTCATGCCCCGCCAATCTGTCCAACATTTGATCAATGAATGGAAGTGGGAAATGGTCATTACGGGTTGCTTTGTTGAGCCTTCTGTAATCAATGCAAACTCTCCACCCCGTTACGGTGCGAGTAGGAATTAACTCATTTTTCTCATTCTCTACCACAGTCATCCCCCCCTTTGGGGCACACATTGCACTGGGCTTACCTAGTTGCTGTTAGAGATAGGAAAGATGATACTTGCATCGAGCCACTTGATTACTTCCTTCTTCACGACCTCTTTCATAATGGGATATAATATCCTTTGCTGCTCAACACTGAGGCGGTGTCCATCTTCTAGGAAGATTTTATGCATGCAAAACGATGGACTGATTCCCTTGATGTCAGCAATTGTCCACCCAATAGCCTTTTTATGCTCGCGAAGTACTCTGAGAAATTTTTGTTCTTGTATATTAGTCAAGCTGGATGATATAATCACTGGCAATGTCTCAGAGTTCCCCAAATAAGCATAGCTCTATGCGCCTGAAGGGGCTTAAGTTCTAGCTTTGGAGCTTCTTCTATAGATGGCTTAGGAGGGGTCAGAGTGACATGCCTGTCCAACTCCTCAATCTCCCAACCCATGTACATAACGGCAAGACATGTCAAGTACTTGCTCAATTTCTCCCATTTTCTTCTTCATAGTCTTCTTCATCCCCAATCAAAGCTCATTCAAGAGGATCTATAGGGCTCATATAAGGCACCAATGACGTAGCATCACTTTCCACCACAGAAATCATGGATAGCTCTTCATAGTGGGCTGGAAATCTGAGTGCTTTATACACATTGAATACTTCCACTCGATCACCAACTCTCATCGTCATCTTTCCTTTACATACATCAATGATAGCTCAGCCCGTGGCTAAGAATGGACGCCCCAAAATAAATAGGACTTCCTGATCACGCTCGTAGTCCAAGATAATAAAATTAGTAGGGAATATGAACGAACCCACTTGAACTAACACATCTTCAATCACTCCTTTAGGATGAGCAGGGGAGCGATCAGCCAACTGTAAGATTAGCGTTGTTGGGCGCGGCTCACCCAAACCCAACTGTCTCAACACAGATAGTGGCATCAAATTGATGTTCGCTCCAAGATCACACAAAGCTCGCCTGACTGCATGCTTACCAATCGAGATTTGGATAGTGAAACTACCCGGATCCTTCAATTTCTGAGGTAGCTTGTATTGGATTCTAGAGCTATATTACTCAGTGAGCGCCACAGTCTCGAATTCGGTCAACCTCCTTTTATTTGCCACTATGTACTTGATGTATTTTGCATATTTGGACACTTCTTGCAGGATGTCTACCAGTGGAATATTGATCTGCACTTGCTTCAAAATATCATGAAACTTTTTATACGCGACATTATCCTTCACTTTCTGCAATCTTTGAACGAATGGAGGTGGTGGCCTCGCAACCAATGGTAGGGGTTGCTTAACCACCGCCTCTTCAGCTGGCTTCTCTGACTCCTTTGATTTTTCTGATTCTGACTCTATAGTCGTTGGCTTCTCACTAAAGGTCATTTATTTTCTCTTTTTCGACTGGACTTCTTCTAACTGTCTCCCATTCCTCAATGACACAACATTAATAGATGCCTTAGGATTAGCCTCGGTGTTGCTGGGAAGAGCTCCAACTAGTCAAGTATTTTGGCACTAGCAAGTTATCCCATTTTTCGCTCCAAATTTCTCATTGTTGCGGCTTGGGCCTGCTGATCAGCCATTACTTTCTTCATCATTTTCTCAAGGTGACTCGTCGAGTTTGCATGTTGTTCAGCCTGAGGTGGTCTATATTGTTGTTGAGGTGCTTGTGGCGTGTATTGATTCTGAGCACCTTGGTTTCCACCCAAGAGAAGTTTGGGTGGTTCTTCTAGTTAGGATTGTAAGTGTTCCCATACTGGTTTGTCTGGACCCTATTTGCATTACCCACAAAACAGACAGACTCTGGATTAACTGGGCATAAGTCACTCGTATGACCCTCTTCACATACTTCACAAAACAATTGAACCTGTTGCACTGGCTGGGCTTGTTGCTTGTTAATAACCAAGGTCATCTGATTAACTTGGTTGGTCAATGTGGAAATCTGCGCTGATAATGTCGAGATGACATCTAACTCAAGAACCCCTATAGATTATTGCACTGTGTGTCTGCCCATTTCTCCTTGCTAATCAGGATTGCTTTTGGAGAATTTGTTCAATAACGCATATATCTCATCAAAGCTTTTCTCCAGTACTTGACCTCCAGCTACAACATCTACCATAATCTTTGTCTCAGGATGTAGCCCTTCTATGAAAGTGTGAGCTAACACTTCGTTTGTCTGATTGTGATGAGGACAGTCTCTGAGCAGCCCCTTGAACCTCTCCAAGCTGAGTATAAAGACTCCCCCGCTTTCTATTTGAAAGCGGCTATTTCACTTCTGATATTTGGAGTTTTGCCTGAAGGGAAGAACCTTGCCAAAAATTTCCTTGTCAAATCATTCCATGATGTAATACAATTAGCTGGTTCTACCTTCAGCCATTGCTTTGCTTCGCCCAACAGAGAGAACGGGAAAAGTGTGAGCCTCACATAGTCTGGCGTGACTCCGTTGGTGATATAGGTATCACTAATCTCCAAGAAGTTCAGGATGTGCTGTTGTGGATCCTCGTGTGGAAGACTCATAAAATGCCCATTCGCATGTAGTAGCTGGATCATGCTCTGTTTCAGCTCAAAGTGCCCAGTGATTCTGGGCTTCACAATGCTGGAGGTGACATTAGCAATGCTGGGCATCGCCACCTCCTGAACAACCATATGCTGCTCCTCTGCCATGTTCACAGGAAATTGAATAAGTGCCTGAAGATTATTTGTGTCCCTTGCTTTCCTCAACCTCCTATGAAATGTTCTCTCAGGTTCGGGGTCAAAGCCTTGAAGTCTGTCCTGGCTTCTAACCCTGCGTATTCAATAAAAGTTCCTGATATCAGAGCAACAATCAAGTAACGTTAGACTTGACAATGAAAGCACAAACTAGAAAGTAGTAAATATTCAAGTCCCCGGCAACGACGCTCAACACTTGTTGCTCACAAACGCACACGCAAGTATACATGGTCGACAAGTAATATAGGATTGTAAGTCCAGATATCGTACCCACAGGGACTTGTGATTAACTATCAACTAAATTAAACCAAACAATTAATCTATTCAAGTGAATCCTAAAGTATGAATATTTAACTAAAACTAACCTAGAATAGTAAACTAAGAAATTAAAGAAACAAGTTGGCGAAGCTTTAGAGTCGAATTCAATGAGAGACAATATTCTAGAGTTATGGGTTAACTAACAATCCCGTTGAGACTTCAACTTAAATTATCTAATTAATTTATCTGATTTATTGGTTGACAGGGTTAATATTGCTCATAGCCTTCTCCCGAAATACTACTCGCCTATTCAAGCTAACCTAACGCCAGCCTATTCAAGCTAACCTAACGCCTATATTCCTATGGAATTAGAATTAACAAGAACGCATTTATAATTCCTGTATAATAACCAAGCAAGGCAATTAGGTATATTCCTATCCTAACCGCAAATTCGTTCCCGATACTCGAGTTTAAGATCTTGCTCTACTCAATCTTATATGCAATCTAGAATTCCCTCTCCCGAGTTCAATCCTAGATTCATAGATAGTATTCAATTGGTGATCAAGCAATCAAATAATTAAGCGCAAGATTGAATAAATAAACCAATATGATAAAATAATAATAAAAATTCAAACTTCAAACTACAACGTTCATGTAGCACGCCACAATTCTAGAATTAATAAACTATGAAATTAGGAGAAGAGAAGAAAAACTAGTTAGAAGCCTCCTCCAAGCGTGGTGTGTCCTCCTGAGGTCTAAAGTATGTCCAAAAGTCCTTAAAATAACGTCTTACATGTATTTATACCAAGTAGGGTTGGGCCAAGACGAAATCTCCTTTTCCTAGCCGAAATAAGAAAACTTGCAAACTTATTGCTTTTCATGCGTCGTACTGTGTGTCGCCCAGTGCATTTCTTCAGCAGTTGCTTCTTCCTTGAATTTTGACGTCCAGAATTGATCCTCGACCCCCAAACACGATCCCGGCTTAATCTCTTGGGCTTTTACTCAGACTTCAAAGCTCCAAATAGCTCGAATTAGTTCCACAACTTTTACATAACTCAGAATCGCTCCTACAAGGCATAAAACACACAATAAGTGCAATACACTAGCGCTTAAAGCTCAAACGCAATAAAAGTACAATAAATTAGAGTGTGATAAGCGACTAAAATACGTAATTATAGCCTACCATCAGGTAGTATATAAATGAAACTTTTCCTTTAAAATATAATTCTTATGTTTTAGGAATTTAAATAAGAAATACTTGCTGTTGAAAAGTTCGTATTATTTGAAGTCACAAACCAAATCTAGATCAGATGAACTAATTAATAGGTTGTTTGGTCAAGCATCTAAATTTTTGCTTATTTTGGAAAATATTTTTCTTTTTGAAAGCGCTTAAGTACTTTTGAGAAAAATAATTTTTGTTTGACTAATTACTTTGAAAAGTATTTTTGAGTAGCAATTAGTGTTTGATCAAATTTTTAAAAAATATTTTTAAGTGTATTTTTTTTTAAAGCGCTTTTTTGAAAGTACTTTTGGAGAAGATATATATATATATATANATATATATATATATATATATATATATATATATATTAAAAGCACGAAGATCCTTAACGAAATGTCGTTCGCCTTTTTTACCCTTTAGAAATTGAATTTACATTGGACAAAATTGTAATTTAAATTATTTTCCTAATATTTAGAAATTTATTAAAATTAATTAGATATTTGACTATGTAAAAAGTCCTAATATTTAGAAATGCTAAGCACATACAATACATGTAACATAGATAGTTACTTCGAAATACTCAGAATATCTTTGGGTGGAGATTTAGTTACCTTAATATATAGACTTAGAATATTATACCTCCTTTTTCGTAATTATCTTTAAAACTCAAAATTTCATTGAAGAAGAATGTTACCCTTGCATCATCTTCAAGCTTTAAAGCAAGTATCTTTCTTATGAAGATGCTTTAACCGCCAAATCTGATATAGGTTTAGATTTGATACACATACACAAAGTATAAAACCAAGAAGTCATTAAAATTAATTGTTGATTGTTATAAATATAATTATATTTATGGTAAATGTCTATATTTAGAGAGATTCTAGGGTTCATTGCTTGGTGGCTAAGTCACCCTCTCCCTATAAATAGAGGGTTCTATTCTATTGTAATTCATCCCAAAAATTCAATAAGAATTCCCTCTCTCTCTTTCTCTGCAATATTGCTCTTGTTCTTTTATTGTTTTATAACACGTTATCAGTACGAGACTCTAACCAATTGAGTAGAAGCTTTGAGATTGAGCATAATGATTGTCAATTATTCCATGAACTTCCTTCATGATTAAATTCTGGATTTAAGGTAAGTATTTTACCGTATTTTTCTCTTTTATTCTATACTTTGATTTTAAATACAAGCAAAGACAACAAAGTTTGATTATAACTCTAATAGAGTTTGTAAGAAATTATAACCACCTGAAGTGGTAAAATTTCTATGCGTCGCCATGATCAAATTCATGTATGATTGTAGGCAAAGAGTTGAAACCCGTCCCATTGAATTTGCTCCATTCTCATTCCCTTAAGAAAATGTGATAGCAGTATATGATAAGTCTGAAAGAAGACAAAATTATTACTATGAATGTATCAATGGATATGGACGTGGCAATAGACGAAATTATAATCGTCATCATTTGTGGTAATGAGAACAATAAGGATTCTCAAAATAATCTTTCACTCTGTAAAAAATATTTTTCATCGATTTGACATGAGATTTTATAAAGCACATATAGATGATTATGGTCTATTCATGATGTGAATGTGACAACATATGATTTAAGAATACATATTCATTTTTCAAAGAATATGAACGTGCTAGTGGTAGTGAATATACCACACTCACCTCTAAAAGAAGGTTTGAGATGATATAAGAAAATAATGTCATATTATGGTATGAATGGTCATTGGTCACGTACCTATTGTACGCCAAAATATTTTGGCATTGTGATTATTAAAAGTCAACGGTAATGCAAGAAACAGATCTTGCATATAATTTTGACCATAACCATAATGGTATAACTTTCTCTTTTAAAGAGATATTCACCATATGGGTATTGATGAATATGTGGTACTACAAAATTAATTGAGAAACTTATTCAGTTTCCAAAGTATACGCGAAAGCGGCTGATTATATTGAGACTATAAATAAAGGAAAGATTTAATATCTTCTATTACTACAACTTGTAGCTGGGTAATATGTATGTGAAAAGCTACCCGCTTTATTCTCCAGTTTGTACTACATAAACAAAAGAATACCATAATGAAGTGGATATTTATTGATATAAAAACCCATATCATAATAAACTTGGAGTTTATTCATAATTGCACACATCATGGTGTAAACCTGAAGTTTATCAATATTGATAATT